TATATATCATTGAGATGTGAGATCAATGATATAAAGACTATCTTGTGTGATACTTTATAAGGTGGCAAGATTTCTTCTCACAAACTCATATATCACATATGGGTGACTCAAAACAAGTTTGTGCACTGGATTGATCCACCATGAGAATTCTACATTTACGTGTCATTAGCAAGTTCTCAACTATAATGCGAGTGTAAGTGATTCTTCCACTTGAGATTGACATTATTCTATGCAAAGACTCGAGTACTTTGATGCTATTAAAAATAGCCACTTCAAGGGATTACAAGTAAAACAATTATTAGGTGCATCGGGAATTTTATGAGAATAATGGGTGAGTCAAGTTAGGATTTGTGTCTCTTGAGTGTGTTAGAGAAGATGTTTTTGGGCCTTAGATTGAGATTAGACTATTTGCAAAGTCTATAGCCATAGTAAGTATGAAAGGTTCATTCAAGAAATACGTTTATATTGGGAATTAAAGAAAGATAAGTTAAACCTTTAAGGATAATGATACATAAAAAGCATCTTACTCAATGGAGATATCAGTGACAAAGGGATTGAATTATACAAATGCATTGGCCATTAGAAGGTTTGATGAAGCCATAAGAAGCCATCAACTCTTTTTACCACTCTGGGTGGCCATGATGTGTTTCTAGATATTACTCTTTGTCTATGTGTGTTTCTCACTATCATCATGATAGAAACCTAAAGGATCACACACTTAGTGCACTTTGGGAATTGGGATTCTATAAATTCAAGTATGTGGTTGTGGATTAATTTATTTGAAAATAATATTTTCACAAGAGAAATAAATTAATGAAGATCCGCAATAAATTGATAAATAGAATTAATTTAATGGGTAGATAAAATTAATTTAAATTAATTCATGTTTAGATTTGTTCCAAGTTAAGAACAAGAAAAATTCAAAGTAGCAATTAAGTCCATGGAGGACTTGTGGGTTGAAACCCTTGTCCATTGGACTAGAGCTTGGGTGACACATGGGCAAGGAGGCCCATGGCTGGCACTCCTAGTCTAAGATGGACTAGGGTGTGCAACAAAAGGAAAAGAATGGGAAGAAGAAAGTCTTTTCTTCTTGAAATTTCTATTTTGACTTAAAAACCAATTTTCGTAATTTTAATTGGATTAGAGTGGCAAGTTTTCTTTTCCTTCTTAACATAAATAGGAGTCAAAAATAAAAACCCTACTTGACTTTCCCATCATAAAATTTTAGGCTACTAAAATCATTCTACCAAAAACTTGGAGAACAAACTGACTTGTTGATTGCTAGCACATTTAGAGTCTTGGTCTTCTTCAAATCCATGAGTGTATGTGGGGATCACTGCTAGAGGAATTCCACACTAGGATTCTTGGGTGGCTTCATTAGAGGAAGGTGGTTAGATTTACACATTAATGAGCCACGCATCATTGAGGTACTACTCATAAGTCCTTCCTTAGCCATCAATGGATTAGTAAGGATCTAAAGTGAGTTGAAAGAGGACAAGATGAAATTTTTATTTTTTGCTTCTATTGCATCCTTCTAAACCCAAAACAAGGGTCCTAGCAAGAAGGCTAAGCCAAGGCTACAAGGTAAGTCACCTAAGTATATGGTGAAAATTAAGAAGATCTCAAGATACAAGTAGAAAGTTTGTTTCCATTGAAAAAGGAAAAAGGCATTGGAAGAATGATGCAAATGACTTATAAGAGAAGAAGAAGAAAGTATTCACATCTTCTTCAAGTTAACAAGTAATTTCAAAGGTTTTCCAAAGGCAAAGTTTACCTATGTGCAAGAATGCAGCGAGAATAGCTTCATTAACTATAGGATTTATACTTGCCAAGTGAATTGATTCTAGAACTAGAACATTGATATTATGTGCCTAGTAATTCTTTGAACATGATTTTGTGTTGAGTTTAGAAATACAAAGTTTTTTGGTTTAAAAGAAATATGTTATGGGATGACATCATTAATCAATGGTTTATATGTTCTAGATTTTAAAAACCTATTTTATGGATTGATAACAAATAACATCAGTCCAAGGACTTAAGGCAAACCTTCTCATGGCACCATAGGCTTGGCCATGTTAACAAAAAACATTTAGCAAAGCTACATCAAGAGGGATACTTAAAGCCATTTGACTTAGCACCCCTTTATACATGCCACTTGTGTTTACAAAGAAAATGACTAAGGCATCTTTTGGTGATGAAGGAGAAAGAGCTACAAAATTATTGAAGTTGACTCACATAGTTGTTTATGGACCCTTTCCAATAGAGGCAAGAGATGGGTATTCCTAACTCATAACTTTTACTAATGACTCAAGTAAATAAGGATATGTCTACTTAATGAGGAATAAGTCACAATCCTTTAAGAAATTTAAGATGTTCAGGAATGAAGTAGAGAATAACTGGGCAAGAAGATAAAGAAACTTTGATTGGATCGAGGTAGTAAATATCTTAACCATGAGTTCATCAATTTTGAGTATGATATTATCTTATATCTCACACATATAGCTACAAAATAGTAGAATGGTGTAAGATGAGGAACCATACTTTTTTTGTACATGGTACATTTGATAATGAGTCAAGCAATACTTCCTTTATCCTTTTAGGAATATGCATCGGAAACAACAGCACACATACTAAACTATATTCCAACTAAAGTTGTAGATAACACATCATACAAGATTTAGCATGAAAAGGAACCCCAACCTTTCTTATCTACAAATTTGGGATGTGAAGCTTTTGTCAAGAGCACATCTAATGACAAGCTTGCATCAAGAGAAACAAGTACATCTTTATAGGCTATCCCAAGGAAACAAAGGGATATTACATATACATTAAGGACTATTACTATATTAGTGCCCCACAACTTTTAGTATTCTATCATATGCCTTTTGTTGCATATATTAGAAGTTAGACTCCTTATTTACATATGAATTGCTAGTTATTGTCCTTAAGGGTGAATTTACCAAATTAAAAGTTAAGTTTAGATATATTAAAGAGGGCTTGGAATATTCTTTAGGCATATTCTTGATATATATATATATATATACTTTTGCTAACCACAAGAGAAAGAATACTCCTAAATATATTTTAAATAATTAATAGTTATTTGGACCAATAAGATTTAAACATAAAAATTTGACTTTTGACTAAAGCTTTCTTTTGTCTTCTAGAGCCTTGTAGAACATTTTTTGGATATTTTCCTTCTGATTGGCTCAACCTTAAAGGGGAGAGGAAGAATTGAAGATTTTTCACGCCCCTTGGGTGATTTAGTTTGGAATTCTTGGAAATCACCAAGCATGCTCTATAGGAAGCTTAAAGTATGTATAAGTAGTGGAGATTAGGGATTTATTTGATTTTCCCTTTTCTATCTTTCTCTGTTTTTGAGTGATTGATTCCATATGTTATTGTGTTTATGTATATGTGACTAGTAATTAATTTATGTTTGAGTTCTTTGAAGATGTATTTGTGATTTGTAAGAGAGTAATATTGATTATTAGGTATCAAATGATTTTGAAGTTAAAATTTAACATAATTTAATTTTGTGAATATTTTTTTGAGCTGTTAGGGAGCTATGTAATTTAAGGTTTAATTGGTTGTATGCATGAAAGGCATTAAAAGATACCAAAGAAATGTGATTTGGTCCTTCTACGGTTAAAGTATTGACACCTCAGTGATAGTGTCGATATGTACCCCTGTTCTCAATTAACTTGTAATTTCACTAAACCCTGGGTTCTTTTTAAATCTAAGATGTGTTATGAATTGTAATCTTTAAACGGGTTCCTAAATATGGCTTTAAAAATGATTTAAAATAAAATCTAAGTATGTATCATGGAATAATAGAATTATGAGTGCTTATGTTGCACATTGCAAGTGGATTGTATATGGATGATATGTTTATTTCAAATTATTTTAGCATGAAGAATCAAATGGGTTAAGTGAAAATATAAGTGAAATCTTAAGTAAAGCTCAAACCATTTTTTGATACATAAGTATTCATCCAAATAAGATTAAGTATCGCTTGTGGTTATGTGCTTTGTGATTAATGTGTTGTGCTCAAAGTAAGGTCATGCTAAATGCATGTCATCAATAAGGTCATGTGAATAATATGTCATCTTGTGACCTGGTGTTAGCTCTAATTCATTTGAGTGTGCTAGCATCACTTCTAGTGACCCAAGTTCTGCAGCTTGGTCCCATTATTTGTTTTATGCACTTTTATGACAAACATGCTATGAGTTTGTGAATCAAATAATTTTTAAGTATTGTGTTTTGTTAATAGCTAGTGAGGGGTGAAAACTCCTATAGGTTTTTAATGCTACTATGTTTTCTCCCCCTATTTGGTTGCTTCTTTTCTACTTTGACGTGCAATATGTAGCCAAGATATGTAAGGTCTAAATGTCGTTTTGGGTCTCTTAACTTTTAACTTTGCACAAATTTGTCTCTCATTTTTGTTTCTTCTGTTGTCCTTGAACCCTCTAATTCAATACTAATATGTTTCCTCAATTAACTACTTAAAAAGTTGAGGGGTCATTTTGTACCAAATCTTTATTAAAGTTGATGTGTCAGCATTATCAAATAATTAACGGAAGGACCATTAATTTGGTATCAAATTTAAATGTACCAAATATCTATTGAAGTTGACATGTCACCTCATCAAATAATTAATGGAAGAGAAATAATTTAGGAATAATTTTTTTGTATTATTTATTGGTATAACTTTATGTATTATTTAAATAATTAACTTTTTTTATTTATTCAAAATTCATAATATTAAATACATCTATTCATTTAAAAACACATAAACATTATATAAAAAATTATCTTTATATTAGTATTCTTAATGAAAAAACCATTAATTTGGCATCAAATTTAAAAGTTGAAAGACGGAAAAAGAATGAGGGCAAGTTTGGAACAAAAGTTGAAAGTTCAGGGACAAAAGAGTTAACAGAAAAAACAAAAGAAAAGAAGAGAGGGGCATCCAGGCTACATAAAAATGGGATAATCCAATACGTACCCAACTTTTATTTTACAGCACAAATCGGATGTGTAAAGCACATCTGATTGACCCCAAACAGAAAGCACACCTAAAACGGAAAGCATCAAAGGCAAGCCACACAACAAGCCAAAACAAAACACGCACATCTCAACACACATTATGACCCAATGAGATGACACACTCACCCCACAAAGCCTTGACATTATTCACTCCAAACTGTAGGCCGTGGACTTACTGTCACATCCTAATCCACAGCCTCCTTTTTATTTTTAGTCACAAACTAACACTTTCATTTCTGAAAACGATCATATCACAACCCTACAAGGTCAAACATATCAATATTTGTCTTGTCTTCGAAGATAGATGTATCATGCATGGAGAGAATATTAATTTTCTCGCATATAATGATGGTCTGCTGCTTTGGAAACTGACAGCATCAAGCGCTAACCCTGATGTCAACGACGGAAGCTCCTGACCTGCCGTGGCTCTTCCACCTCTTCCTCCCGAAGCTTCACCAACGTGTAGGTACCAGCACCGGCTAAAGCTCCAAGCGTGGGTGCCAGGAGGTAGATCCATATTGCCTTGTAGTTTCCTGCTGCAACTGCCGGTCCCAAAGTTCGAACTGGATTCATTGAACCACCACTCGATGGACTAATTAAAATAATATTATCAAAAAGTAAAAATAAAAAGAAAAGATAGTTAGAATGCATGATTAAATGTTTGATACTCGCAGATATTGTAAAAGTTAAAAAGGACAGTGGATGAGTGGATGGAAAGATTGATGTGAAAATGATTCTGCCCCATACCGACTCTTTGTTTTAGGGTTTTTGGTACTATTATAATATAGTATCAGTATATTACATTAACTTAAAATTGATGGGAACAGGACACCGCCTATGAGCCGAATAAAAGATTTTACTTTAGATTAATTTATTTATTCATAGGAATCAGGACACCTATGGTCCAATATAAGGAATATACAGCCTTCTTTTATTGTTTTATACAGTTCAACAGGGTGAGTACTAGTTAATTTTAATGTCAAATTAGAGTGATCAGTACGGGCATGAAAATCAAAAAAATCTTTAATAATTTTGCATTTGCCTGCTGATTATTAAGGTATTTTTATATTTTTTTAAACCTAGTCTAACATTAATTAATTAAAAAGAAATGATTCTTCAATGTCACAAAATTATAAATTTAAAATCATAATGTAATGTTATTTTATGTGATAGATTCTTTTATTCAAGGGATTCATCACATAATATTATTTATATTTATTCATTTAATAATATCTTATGATTATTAACTTATAATTGTATATAATATTATTTTTTTAATATGCGTATATAACATTGTAATTATAGTATTACATTGTGTAATTAAAATTAACAAATCTAAACTAAAAACCTACATTTTAAAAGGATGTGAAGCAATACTAGCATTAACTTTATTGTGTGTGGTAATCCTTGAAACCGTGACTCCAGGAGATTAAAACTAAGAGTTAATTAAAAGCTACCATGACTTCATACCTAACAATGAATGTGGTGAGACGCCGTAGATTCAGTGGTAAGAAAAAATCTATTGTTGAAGGAAAACACTGAAAAGTAAAATTAAGTGTTGGGAAGAATTTAATAGAGTGCTCACCCGGCCACAAGAATGTTAAGCATAACAGTAGCTCCAACTGCTATACCAGCCAGCTCCCCCACCTGTTCATATATACAAGAAAGAAATAATTCATTAACTTAACTAATACTATTAACTTTAAAACTTATATTTTAGATTAATTTCATAAGTTTAAAATAAGTGCCAGTAATACTATTTTTGCACTCTTCTCCCAAGACTTTTAATGTGATTGGTTTATGTGATATATATATATATATATATATATATATATTTTATGAATGAGAATCCACTTATACGTTTGTTATCCTTACTACATAAACTATTAGTAGATAATTTTCAAATCCAATTATTGAAATTAGAGTGTTATATCTAGTACTAATATATCACAAAATATATTTCTTTGATACTAACTTTCTAGTATTTGTAAGTTATACTAGACTTTGATTGAGTTAAAATTAGACCCCATATAAAAAACACTCTTTTAATATCTATTTCTTAATTTATAAAACTTAAATCCAAGACTTAATTTAAAAGAAATTAAATTTTTTTTACTCAAACAAATAAGTCATTGGTAATATATCTTAAAATATTAAATAAGATAAAAAAAATCCCAAACTATTAAATTTGAGGCTATTTGAGCTGTATTTCGTTAATATAATGACTTTTTTATTTTTAATATTTTCGTTCAATGGCCAGTAATTATCTTATTTTTAATTGAACAGGCGGTTGGCGTTGGCCTCGGGAGCAGAAGAGCGTGGGGTACTCCTCTATCTTTAAGAAAGATACTCCTAGAAACTATATCTTTTTTAGATTTTAAGGTTGTCTAACTTGGTTTCAAAAAATATATTAATTGTATGTTTTTATAAATAATTTTTATAAAAGAATTATGAATATTAATTTTATTTTTATTGTTAATATTATATAAATATTTTTAATTAAATAATTAATAAAATTAAAATTATTTATTTATTTATTTATATTATAAATTAATTAAAAAATACATAATAAATATATACTTAACTTGTATATTAAAATTTTCCTTAAATTTAACTAAGCGGTAGTGCTTGTCCAAAAATATATCATAAATAAATTTTTTTTCAATAATATCATAAAGAATTTAAGTAATTGACCACAAAAAAAAAAGAAAAAGGAAACAATAAATAATTTAAACGTAAAAACACATACGTACCGCACGAGTATCAGTAGCAACGGCGGTCACAACAAACAGGAGATTAAAAGTGATAAGAAACTCAAGTGCAAAAGCCTGGCCATAATTGACGGAAGGAACGGTGACGCCACCGGACAAGAAGGGATGGAAAACTCCCTTGAGCACAAAGGAAGCACAAATGGAACCTGACACCTGAGCTGCTATGTATGCCGGGACCTGTTTCCAGGGAAAGTGACGGAGCGCCGCAAAAGCGATAGTCAGGGAAGGATTTAGGTGAGCCCCGGAGATGTGCCCGGTAGACAATATTATGATCATCACCGCCAGTCCGGCACAAGCGGCGTTTCCGATTAGCGACTCCGCTCCACTGTACTTTTGGTTCACGATTGGCCCCGCCGCTGCCGCAAAGATCAGGATAAAGGTTCCGACGAACTCTGCCCCGAGCTGCATCCATCGGAACCATGGCAAACAGAACTTTCTCAGATCCCGATAAACACGATTTGTACGTCAAAATTGAATTTACTATACATTTTAGACAAAATTATTATTGAAAGAGAAATATTCTGAAATTATTGAGAACGTGGCGTGGTACCTTGCGGGTAAGGGAAACGTCAGGCGCAGGAAAATCGGTGAAGCAGGAGTGTGGCTCACCCCAAGTCGGCGCAGTAACCGGGAGGCACTTGCATCGTGGCATTGACTTGCGATCATACGACATAGAGTCGATGCGATGTGCCGAGAACAGTGGTCCACCCGGCGTACCTGGCGTCACCGGTGCCGATGCCGCTGGCGTTCCAGGGGCAGACTCCGCCATTGTCCTTTTCCAAATATTTTCTTTTTTTTCTTTTTTTTAATTCTTTTTTTTTTTTTTTTGGATTAAAAAAGATAGCTAGGAAAGATCAAAAGGAGTACAATTACATGATTTGGCGATTTTTATAAAAGTGTTTCTACACTGCTGTTTTGATTTTCGCCAGGATCAGTAACACTAGCACCAAACTAATTAGACTTTACAAATCTTCTGAAACCATAACTGATATTCAAACAAAAATACAATTTTTTTTTTGTTTTTTTATGGAGATTTGAAGAAAAAGAAAGCTTAAAATAACATACTGTGAAGGTTTTTGTAAATGCTTCGCTAAGGAATTAAAGAGAAGTAGAAATCCAGCTTAAAAAACAACCAAAATTTTCAGAAAAGGACTGCTGCGTATAATTTCATGGACTGATTATACAAATATTTCAGAAAACTGGATTCTGTTTTCCGATTCAACGAAGGAATAATGCAAAGAAAACTAAGAACTTACATAAAATTATTTAGTAATCAGGGAACTAGGAAGATGGATGGATCCAGATTGGCGGTGAGGAATGGAGATTATAAAAACGAGAGAGGGCAACGAGGAGAAAAGGAATGGAGGAGAAAAGAGTGGTTGCATAAATGCATCACTATGGATATATAACACAAAACGAGGAGGGTCCGGGGAAAAGTCAACGGAATCCCGTCATGTTTCCACACATATTATAATCTTTTTGTTTTCGGCCAAAAGAAAAAAACAAAGTTTCTATACATTTTACATTCTAATATATTATAGATTGTTTTAACCTCTTCTCTTATAAACATATTGCATTTTAATACGTTATGGATTTTTTTTTATTTTCATTTTAAGAATATAAATTAAAAATATATTTATTATATATTTTTATAATTAATTTATATTAAAATTATAAAAAAAAAATAATTTTATTTTTAACAATGATGTGATATGAGACGTTGAATTAAATTGTTAATAAAATTGAAATTAATTTTTATATTTCAAAATAAATTAATTAAGAAAATATAAAATAAATACACTTAAACAAAAAGTTAAAAAATTTAATAAATTATGAATTTATCTAATTTATGCTTTTAATTGTATATTTTTATATTTAATAATTTTATTAAAAAATTAAAAAAATAATTTTATTTCTATCACCAGTATCACATATATTCTTCTAATTAAATAATTGATAGGATTAAAATTTTTTTAATTATTATTTTTTTGAATGGGTTTATATCTTTGAAAGAGGGATTTAAAT